AACCCCAAAAACACAATATTGCCAAATATTATCCTGTAAAAATGAACCAGTTTCATTACGCATGAAATCTTTTGAAAAATTAACCACTATTTTGATGCTTTACTTGGAAAATTTTAGTAATATTTTATTTGCTCATTTATGAATTTTTCAATCTTCTCATGTAATATCATTCTAATGCTCTACTAGTCAGGCTACTTAATCCATCGATAAAGATACGAACAGGAACTGCACAGGTATTTAAAAGGTTAAATCGTTAAATAATTGAATTTAATGCGAAATCGATGGAAATACTTTCATTTCATTATATTGTTAAAGGTGGATTTCGTAGGATTCACACTCTATTTGGTTTCTTCCATGGTATGCAATAAAACTGTTTCCTTTTCGTTTTGCATGTAGCCAATACTTTTCAAGGCAGGTAGCATATTGCACCGTCAATCAATGGACGGATATGCTAATTTTCCTTTAGATTTATATTTTAAAGAATGTTTGAATATTTATAAGATGCATAAGAGAATATTTTCGCAATGAATGAAGCATATATAAATATCCCAATTCAATTTTGTGATCATTATTTTGTCTATATCACAGAAATATCATCTGTATGGACTACCATTTTTATTGCATATAAATGGGAAATATTGTTTGTTTCCAATGATAAATATTTAGCAAATTATTGCTATTATAAATTAGTCTCATAGCAATTCAATAATGTCCTATCTTTAGAGTCAGATGGAAATCTTGACATATTTGGTTTAAAAATTACAAATTCGGTTGGATTGAATTATTTCATGGAAGATTTGGCACGATCAATTCCCCCATTCACCATTCGCGTTTGTGCGTTAAATACATTCAAAGAGTATAATTATTTTAATATTATGAGTTTCAGGATAACAAAGCGGATAATTTGCCCTAAGTAATATTGGATTTAACATGAATGAACTGTAATAAAATCAAGTGTCATCGTACTTTGATTTTACAAATACCTATTGCACATACAAGTGATTTGTAATGACAAATAATGATGGCATTACTTAGCTCTAAGTATGAAGCAAAATTAATCGAATAAACAATTCCACCATTCACTTAATGCGAGGTTTTATTTTCTAACGGAACTAACGAGGCTATTTCAGAAAACCAGACATTTTTCAAAAGCTTTCCGTTTATTTCACCTTGTCATTTTGTACTATTTAAACCTCATTTTAATGACATCTAAAATGTTGAATTTTACAGTTTGGCACAGCTTAAATCGTTTTCATGCTTAAAATTTTTAATAATTAACTTCTAAGAAATACAAGACAAAGTTGGTTTTCTCCAAATATTTCTAGGCAATATTGCAGGAAATAAATCTTCATTGTACAGGACGACAATTTTAACACAGTCATTTTTGAATATTTATGATGTAATTTTTTTAAATATTCCCGATGAATATTAACTGAAATTAGCATTTATGTTTTAGAACATCAACATTGAAAAAGTCATTCATTAAATAAATATGGAATGTGTTTGAAATATAACTCTGCCAAGTCAATATATGACGTTTCCGTCAACAGCTCAATGAGACATAACAATCACATTTCCAATATGTTTTTATGCTCAATAAGAAGTATCCTTGGAATGCCATGTTGAATTGAATTCACTCGCTCTTAATATTCTGAGCAATGAGTCGTGAGAAAAAACATACAAAAGTGATATATGTGATGAATCTCAGTGCCATGACGAAATGGAGTATTTGAGTATTATCAGCCACATATGGCCATTAATACATTAAAGTGGTTATATGGTACCGACTAATCTGTTGTCCAAAAGAGTTAATTAAGTGTCAGTATAAAGAAAACAAGGCTTTAGATAAGAATTTAAACTGCAAAAATTTGATGAATTTCTATTGTTGCAGAAACTTTTGTTTAGAATGAATATTAATTACTTATAAAATATAAGAAATATATTTATGTCGTGCTTCGAAAGTCTGTTTTTACTTCCTCATTACAACCGTCATTGATTATGCTAAAGCAAGCTTAACACAATGTTAACACGCATGCTGAGAGAGATAAATTATAGTGGTGTGAAATCATCAAAGCATGAAATTCGTCATGTTTTACCGAGTCAATTCCTTCAGTGGAAGACAGTTCATCGGCGCACCAAGAGCCTTGGTTTTACAATATTTCTCATTTCGACAAGCTACTTTGTTTTATCCTATTAGGTTCCATCTACTCAAAGTGTGCTTAATCTGGAAAATTGAGCATACCTTTATAGCAAACAATTGTCACTTAATAAAAATTTGAAGTGAAATTGAGTGATTAAACTATTTCCGATAAATGCAATGCAGACATATCATAGGAATATGTTTCGACGAAATTGCAGTTGAATAGATTTTTGAAATCATTTGATATTCGGGTAATCAAAAGATGTCCAATGCACATTATTATCTTGTCAATTAAGTTATAGAAGCGGCAAAATTTCCTGAAAGGCTTAACTTATATTTAAAAAACGGCTAACAGCTATATTATTCACATAATTATTTGACTTATTTTACTTATTGGAATTAATTCTATTTTTAATATATTTACATTTGACATGCAAGCACTGTGATCCTTCGAAATATGCAATAAATGAGTTCATTTATGCAGCGTATGGTTACACTAGTAAAGCCTAGCTAGACTCCCAGAACTGGCTAAGCTATAGCCTAGATGTAAAGAAAGTAGACGTTTTGCACAGAACACGTATATTTTGTAAATTCAACAGATATTAAGATTTTATCGTAACCTAGTTAGAGATTTGAAAGTCCTTACTTCGAATTACTAAAGTGAAAATTGAAATGAACAATATTATTAATATTATTTTAAATGGCAGGCTTTATGATATTTACATTATCCCTTGTATTTGTACTTTAGATTTGTCCATGGGCGGGGGGCACATACAGTGCAAATAATTAAAAGCCTTTCATTAGCTCTCTGTTGCTTCCAGTATCTCTGGGTGTGGGGTGCACGATAAACTTACCTCCACTTAGAGCATCCTTGATAATGTATCTTTCAACGGCAAAAAGTTTACCATTCGGCATTTTGACCTCTATTTATTGTGATTAGCTTAAGATAAGTTATTTATAACAAATGGCAGGCGTTTTGATAGTTATCGCTAGCCCTTTGGTTGACTTCGGGCTTCACAGAGGGAAGGAGGAACATCAAAGTGAGAAGAATTCGAAAGGGAGAACAGAAGAGTGATTCACAGATGCAAAAGAAACAGACAGACACCAATGCTCAGAAAGGGTAAGATGAGTAACGAGGAAAGGGGTCGCATATGACATAGAGTGGGGTCAAGGTAGTTTGAAGTCAACTGCCGGTTAATTGAGGGTAGTTTGAAGTGAGAAGTCAACTGCCGGTTAATTGATTTTTTGCCGTATGATTATACGTTGCCCAGGGTGCACCACGTGGAGGTTAGTCTATCTCACACCCCAGCTTAAAATAAATCTGTGAGAGAAATTGCCCTCGTCAGGGAGGATCGCAACGCCTACAGATCCTCCAGTAGAATGCTGGACGGATGTCACAGGACAAAAAGATCCAAGTACAGAAAATCCTACAAATGTCACAGGACAAAAAGATCCAAGTACAGAAAATCCTACAAACCTATGATGTAGACATTTTCACAATTATGGAAGCAAACCTATCGGGTCGCAAACTGAAATACTACCAATTCCCAGGTTACACCCTGTGGTTTCTAACTAAATACCGGCAAGTTGCAAATGAAATCCATATTCCACTCCAGTATAGTCCCAACAAACATAGTCTCAAACATAAATGTAGTATAAGTAGACTTCAACGCCCATTCCACCAGATGGGGCAATGAGAAATAAAAACATCGCTGGAAACAAAATTGAAGACATGCTAAACAGCAAGTCTCTGGAACTTATTTATATCAATGAGGATTCTACTACATATTTGCACTACAATGAAACCAGAGCAATTAATGACTTGCACCTGCCTTCAAGCAACATCAGCGAGCATACACAGAGCTAATTAATTGACGATCCTTGTTCTAGTCATAAAACAGTCATTGCTAGTATTGCCATTGGCAGCAAAAGCATGAAAACGAAAGTGCCAACAAAGCTTTCATGGAACTTCAAAAAGGCTGACTGATCTAGATTCACCAACCTTTTAGACAAAGAACTTCACACAAGGTCCATCAACTTAAACTAAAATCCTGACAAACTTTGCAAGGATATCAAGGATATTATGATCAGACGTGTGAAGAAAACTATTCCCCTAGGCAAGACTAAACACTTTCGAGTGTTTAGGTCTGAATACCTTGAGGAAATGAAAGGAAAGCGGGACGCCATTCGCAACACTGCTGATCAGACTAGAAGAACGGAAGGTCGCAACACTGCTGATCAGACTGAAAGAACGGAAGGCGTACAAGACTGGAGACGACAATCAGCTGTCCTAAGGCAAGTCATCTTACAAGCAGACGACAATCAGCTGGCCTAAGGCAAGCCATCTTACAAGCAAACGACAATCAGCTGTCCTAAGGCAAGCCATCTTACAAGCAATACAGTCAGCTGTCCTAAGGCAAGCCATCTTACAAGCTAAACAAAGCTGTCCTAAGGCAAGCCATCTTACAAGCTAAACGGACTTCGAAGCCATCTTACAAGCAAAACGGACTTCCTTCGACAAGTTTATCTCGAATATCAACCACCAAAGTGATAGCCAACACACTTTCAAAGTTCTGAATAACCTGCAAGACGAAAAGGAAAGACCCAGGATAGAACCAAAACGCTTAAACAACACACTGCTTTCAACCAACTCCAAAATAGCTAACTGCTACACAAGCAACAGATAAAGCCTTTTGCCAGAAAATCTCCAGGAGATTTAAAGATACATGTAAGACAGTTTGGTGAAATTAAGGAAGATATAGCAATAAGAATAATGGACTTGCTGAACCATTCAGTCCTTGCAAACTTAATGCTGCGATAAAACAGCAACAGTGCAAAAATTCTTTGGGGACTATGGTATTCATCCAGAATATCTAATTAGAATGGGAGGAAAAGCCAAGGAAACCACCCTGACGCTTTTCAACAAAATCTGGAAGACCCGACTCGTACTTAGCCAATGGTAAGTTGCCATAGTAATACCAGTACTAAAAAAGGGCAAAGACCCTTGCAACTTTGACAACTATAGGCCTATCTCCTCACAAGCGTGTGGGCTAAACTTATGGAAAGAATGGTTAACAGGAGGCTAACCTGATTCCTTCAGCAGGTTTAAACCGCAAAGGTCAACCAACGCACAAGTTGCCACATTCACCCAACACAGCAAAGATGCCCTT